CTCTGTTGAATATTTGGGACACATCATTGATGCTACTGGTCTTCATAAGTCCCCTTCAAAAGTTAAGGCTATTGTGGAAGCTCCACCCCCTCAAAATGTTAGTCAACTTCGCTCATTTCTAGGACTATTGAACTATTATGGAAGGTTTATTTCACAGCTAGCCACACTATTAAAACCACTTCACGAGCTCCTTGGCCAGAACAAGGTCTGGAAGTGGACTGATGCCTGTGATGTTGCATTTAACAAGGCTAAATGTGCATGCTAAACACAGAGGTCCTGACAGATTTTGATCCATCCTTACCTTTACAGTTGGCTTGTGATGCCTCCCCATATGGAGTGGGAGCGGTCTTGTCACATGTTATGCCTTCAGGAGAGGAGAAACCAATTGCTTTTGCTTCACGCACCTTAAGCACGGCTGAAACTAACGATGCGCAAATTGAACATGAAGCATTGGGAATCGTTTTTGGAATTTGGAAGTTTCACCAGTACCTGTTTGGATGGAAGTTTACACTTCTCACCGACCATCAACCTCTGACGGCAATTTTTGGTCCACACTCAGGTATTCCACCAATGGCTGCTAGTTGTATGCAACGATGGGCATTGTGGCTTTCAGGACACACATATGAGATCAGATATCGGAAAGCCATGGCAATGCAGATGGTCTTTCTAGGCTGCCTTTGCCAGTCAAACATCAAGATAGTAGCCAGAAGGAAATCTTTTACTTTGAACAGGTAAAGAACATGCCCATCACTGCTGCACAAGTTAAGAGAGCAACTCGTGTTGACCCAGTACTCTCCCACGTAATGGAACTAGTGATGCGTGGAACATCTCTAAGGAACTCGCAGGTCTCATCTAACCTTGTCCCCTACATGTCCAGGAGAATGGCGTTATCAACCCATTCGGGGTGCTTGTTGTGGGGAATGTGTGTCGTTATTCCAAAAATACTGAGACAACAGATGTTAGAGCAGCTGCATTCAGGTCACCGTGGAATGGTGCGCATGAAAGAAATTGCACGAAGCTATTTTTGGTGGCCTGGCTTGGACAGTGACATTGAAGAAAAAAAACAAGAGCTTGTATTTCTTGCCAGGGTGTGAGGAATGCACCTCAATTGGCACCTCTGCACCCATGGGACTGGCCTGAAAAACCATGGCAATGTATTCATGTTGATTTTGCTGGCTCATTTGAAGGTAGCATTTTATTGGTGGTGGTAAATGCTCATTCCAAATGGCCAGAAGTCTGCATAATGCCTTCCACTACTCCTGAGAGTACTATCCACAAATTACAGGGAATCTTCTGTCATTTGGGTATTCCTGAACAACTTGTGAGTGACAACGATCCACAGTTTGTGTCTTAGGAGTTTGGATATTTTATGAAAGCAAACGGGATCCATCACATCACTTTAGCACCGTATCACCCAGCCACAAATGGATTGGCTGAAAGGTTTGTCCAGACAATGAAACAAGCTTTGAAATCGGTTAGAGGACATTCACTCGTAGAAAAGAGTCTGGACACCTTCTTACTATCCTACAGCCCACTGCCCAGCATAGCAACCAGCAAGGTATCAACACTACGTCACACCTTTCATGGATTGATAACTTGTTAAAAAATAGGAAACAAAGGATCTCATCTGGCGGCGGCATGTAGATCAGTTATTCATACGTTATTCCTGCCCCCAAGGCACATCTCCAGTTGAGTTGCCCATCCTTCCCACTGCCGGTGAGCTACCATGTCAAGAATCTCCTGCTCCTGACTCTCCTCCTCCATCACCACCAGCGGCGAACAATAACCCCCTCCCTGAGCAGGCTGATCCAACAGCCTCACCTGTTCACACTTCAAGTTCCCAGCCCCATGTCAGGCCTGCACCCATAACATCTTCGGGTGTGAGAACGCCAGATGTCCGCCGTAATCCACCTAGAGAAAGGAGGCCTCCTCAATGGCTGGACCTTTCGTTGAGATTAACTCACCGATGGGGCAAGATAATCCCCAGGGTTAGCTAGGAACTTGAGGCAGTCTACCGTCATTTCATAGTTAGTTTTTGTTTTCTTAAAGGGACGTTTTTATTAAGGGGCGAGGAATATGTTGTATATTGGGTGTTAGATATAGATCTTGTTGTTATAGTAACTGAGTATGTC